TTAAATCCTCTAAGTAAGAAAGTAGTGTTCTTATATGAGGTCGTCAAGTATGAAATGTTCGAGAGCAGATAGGAATAGGAACGACTCTATATTCTGACATTCTACTTTATCGACCTGGACACGTATAATGTGAGAATTTATGTCCCTAAAAAAAGGAGTACTGAGGCAGTGTATGGGAGATGCAGGGGATTTGCGGAAGAGGTTATACTGAAAGAGAAAGAGAGACTTGAGAGGGAGAATAAATGTTTCATTGGATCTACTCGATTAACTGTCTTTGAGAGACTCTCATCACCTCCCTTACCTGATATCAACTTGTCGAGAGACAATTGGTTTGCTATGATAAATTTTGTATGCACAGTGAAGAGAGCCCAAGAAGAATACTCTCAATAGCAAGGATAACTACTTTGAGGGGCAAACTTTATGAGGTGACAGGGTATGATAATCCCTTTGTAATCCTGAGGCATGAGACTTGTGGTAAATGACATATAACGTTTCACATTCCTGTGGTCAAATTTCTGAACTCTGACAGTCTGGACGTGAGAGTTTACTCCTCAGTGTAAAGTTCGAGCACCTGGTTTTGCTCATTTACAAGGGTCCGTTGATTTAGGTTCCTTCCCCTCTGCCGGTAGGTGCGAAGTGTGGTAGCACAGCCAGAAAATCAAATTCTTGGTGGAAATCATCAACTTTATAAGTCTAGAGGAGGAAGCTGACTACTTGGAGTGTCTGAAAGAGGCGTACATCTGTCTTGAATGAACAAAAGAGTGGCTAGAAAAGTTAAGGAAAAAAGTGACATGGGGAGTGAGAGAAAGAGAATTTAAGAGGCTCCCTGAGTTCTCAGTTGTTGGTGGGTTTGAAGAGAGAAGAGATTGGATGCCTCTGTTAGAGGTTGTTGCCGAGGTTGGTAGAGCAAGAGGGAAAATTTTTATTGTGATGATAAAATCCTTTGTTTTGAGTACCTTTGAACATAGGTTCGAAATACCTGACTTTGTCTAGCCTGAGATCTATCTTTCATTTGTTGATTATGATGGTTAACAATGCCCAACTTGGCTGAACAACTAACGTTTGGGGTAGTGCTGGAAGGAAGGATAGTCAAGGTGGAAGGGACTCTTCGGATCTCTGACAGAAACCTCTCTACCTTTGATGAACTTGAGTTCTTGCAACCCTTCTTTAATCAGATAAGAGATTTTGCCCTGAGAGTCGTCACTGACCAGACTGAGACTAGCTATTTACTTAGGGTGGTGAAAGTGGGAGCTACTGAAGGAGCACTGTATCACTCCTCTAGGGAACAAGTTTTTCTTGCTAGAAGAATCAGCAACAGTCTGTAAGCAATGCAATTTGATTATGATATCATAGACTTGACACGATACTTTATGATTCGGGGTACTGTGAGAGGGTATAATAGAAGATTGAGTAGGGATGATGAAAGAGAATGATTACACAAATTGGAACCAAAATTTAGAAGAAGATGCCTTCAGCATTAATATCCTGGTATACAACATCTTCCTCCCCACACTCCATAACTCGTCGTCACGGACGCATCCGTACTCCGTAGCTACGAAACTCAATCCTTCCACTAAATACACCACTCAGATTAAGGCTTCCTACTGGGTCAATATCCATTTAAATAGTACCTTGAGGCCATATCGTACTTGCCCTACTGCAGTGAAATCGCAGCAGCATTCTCCATGAGACCGGAATCTAGTCCGGTGCTTACAAAAAAAGCAGACCAATTATTATGTGAGATGTACTAGGCCGGCCTCCGAGGCCAGATACTTACGAGACCCAATTTCTGAACACTGCAGACCCCTGTCAGCGGGATC